TAATTGTTTCCATGCATTTTTGGTTTTCTTCATTCTTCTTTGCTCTGGATGAGGAGAGACCCATCTTTGCATCTAGATGGTCGCTTGCAAGCTTTTAAGATCCCAGTCGGTACACACCAAAGGAGGATGTGGAGCAGTGTTTTTGTGTAGTATGTTATGTCAGTTGAGCTTCATGTCCCCTGCAACTCTGGTCCTGAGCTCACAGGTCCAACTACTCATGTAGCTTATATTTTTGAGTATAGACAACCACTCTACAAGGAGATAAGTGCTAGGGAGAAATATAGAGCAGGGAATGGGGTGGAGGATGTGGGATGGGTATTGCAATTTAAGGGGAAGTGAAGAGCATCGTCAGAGAATGTCAGGAGTGGCCTTTGAGAAAGATAAGAAGGAGGTATGGGGACAAGCAATGAGGATGTCACACAGGAAGAATGGCAAGTGTAAAGATCCTGGGGTGGGATTGTGACTGGGGAAGAGAAGATTTAAGCCAGGAAGATGGGAGATCAAGAGTATAGTTTTAGATATATTAAGACTGAAATGTAATTCAATGTCCAGGCAGAGCTGCTATGTAGATAGTTGGACACTGAGTCTGGAAGTCAGGGGAGATACATGTTTGGGATTGGTCAGCGTATTAGTAGTGCTTCAATTATGACACTTGATGGAATACCTAAGGCAGTGAGTTTAGATGAAGAAGAGGAGAGTCCAAGGACTAAGTACTGGGATGCCCCAATGTTGACAAGTGGGGGCAATAAGAAACCAGCAGAGACTAAGATGGAATGTTCAAGGAGGTAGTAGGAAAGCCATTAAGTGCCAATAAGTACTGGAAGCCAAGTAGAGAAAGTGTTTCAAGGAAGGAGGAAGAGCTGATCCTACAGATGGGCCATGTAAGATGATGTGGTAGTTAGGGTTATGTGTAAACTTGGCTGGGCAGCTGGATACAGTTATTCCCCATGATGAGACTGGCAATCAGCTCCATGGTGGAATCTACTGGAGCAGCTGAGTAGCTGCCTTAGGGATGTGTTCTGCTTCCAGTGTGTAAGGAGAAGATTTGAGAAAGGTCTCCGAGCTTTTT